ATCTTGTAGTCATATTGTGTTTCTTTAAACTATTTCTTGTTGTTTGATTGCTGTTGGTTGCATGTTGTTGTTTTGAGTCTTTTCCCTTCAACATATTTAGCAACTATATATTTCTGTTATACAATTTATTGCTACAGCAATAACAACAAACAATTGCAGAGTACGAATTGTATAGTAAAATAGAGCAAACTAAGTAAAACATTCTTAACATGTTTCTAGGTTTTCTTCTTTTGTCACAAAGAGGAGGTACACTGTTTCCTAAAGGAACTAAAAAGGCCCTATATATTTCGCATATATATATATTTGATCAAATGTCAGAGCCTATAGTCTAGATTTACTCCAAATTGTAGTCCAGACAATTGACTAGACAATACATATAATATAGACTAGACTATAGTCAAGCTATAGACTACACTATAGACTAGGCAATATAATAGACTATAGACTGAGTATAGACTGGAGTATGACTAGACTATAGACTAGACATAGACTAGACTATAGACTAGACTAGACTATAGACTAGACTATAGACTAGACTATAGACTAGACTATAGACTAGACTATAGACTAGACTATAGACTAGACTATAGACTAGACTAGACTAGACTACAGACTAGACTATAGACTAGACTATAGACTAGACTATAGACTAACTATAGACTAGACTATAGACTAGACTATAGATAGACTAAAGACTAGACTATAGACTAGACTATAGACTAGATATAGACTAAACTATAGACTAGACTATAGACTAGACTATAGACTAGATATAGACTAGACTATAGACTAGACTATAGACAGACTATATACTAAACTATAAACTAGACTATAGGCTAGACTATAGACTAGACTATAGACTAGACTATAGACTAGACTATAGACTAGACTATAGACTAGACTATAGACTAGACTATAGACTAGACTATAGACTAGACTATAGACTAGACTATAGACTAGACTATAGACTAGACTATAGACTAGACTATAGACTAGACTATAGACTAGACTATAGACTAGACTATAGACTAGACTATAGACTAGACTAGACTAGACTAGACTATAGACTAGACTATAGACTAGACTATAGACTAGACTATAGACTAGACTATAGACTAGACTATAGACTAGACTATAGACTAGACTATAGACTGGACTATAGACTAGACTATAGACTAGACTATAGACTGGACTATATACTGGACTATAGACTTGACTATAGACTAGACTATAGACTAGGCTATAGACTAGACTATAGACTAGACTATAGACTAACTATAGACTAGCTATAGACTAGACTATAGACTAGACTATAGACTAGACTATAGACTAGACTATAGACTAGACTATAGACTAGACTATAGACTGGACTATAGACTAGACTATAGACTGGACTATAGACTAGACTATAGACTGGACTATAGACTAGACTATAGACTAGTGTATAGACTAGACTATAGACTAGACTATAGACTAGACTATGGACTAGACTATAGACTAGACTATAAACTAGACTATAGACTAGACTATAGACTAGACTATAGACTAGACTATAGACTAAAACTATAGACTAGACTATAGACTAGACTATAGACTAGACTATAGACTAGACTATAGACTAGACTATAGACTAGACTATAGACTAGACTATAGACTAGACTATGACTAGACTAGACTAGATAGACTAGACTAGAACTATAGACTAGACTATAGACTAGACTATAGACTAGACTATAGACTAGACTATAGACTAGACTATAGACTAGACTATAGACCAGACTATAGACTAGACTATAGACTAGACTATAGACTAGACTATAGACGACTATAGACTAGATATAGACTAGACTATAGACTAGACTATAGACTAGACTATAGACTAGACTATAGACTAGACTATAGACTAGACTAGACTAGACTATATACTACAGTCTAAAACTAGGCTAGAGTCCAGACTGTATATTAGACTAAAGCCTACATTGGGGTTCATAATTTTTTAAACGATTGCTGGTCTATGGTGTCAACTTGACCACTCACCATGTTACTCTTCCTAGTCGTTTATCATATCGTACATTTAAAATTGCGACAACACTATAATTTGTTGTTTTCAGTTCGGGTTTCTTTTTCATTCTGTGTGGACATGCAAGCAGTAAAAGGTCCTTTGCCTCATTGTTATGGCTTTGGGTTGTTTCTTTTATTTTCATATTTTTTTTTTCTTCTTTTTTTTTTGCAAAACAGTTCGTGTTGGTCTTGTGGCAAATTACTGTGGAGAACACAAAATGTTTATACATTTACAAGTCTTCCTTTCCCTATGCTTCTGCAAAAACTACAAATTGATAGACAACATTTGCTTTTGCTCAGAAAACGTGTATCATTCCACTAGATGAATTATGTTGCTACTACCACTTCCACTACTAGGACTTGCAACACTTAAATACTCATACTAAAGACCTTAGGTTAGAGAAAAAAAGAAAATATTCACTTAGTTTTTCTACTCACTTGGTAGTATAGTTTCAAACGAAGAAGTTCAACTATGTGCTGGAAATAGTAGAACTCTTGCTATGACTTACTTAAACTATTTATCAGGGTTTTACTGGTAATAGTAGTTGTGGCAAAAGAGTAGTCGTTTTTTTCCAGAGGGGCAAGTGCATACATACATGCATACATAGTTGTTGTAAATAATAGTTTCTTTGACCTCAACTCAATACGTTTCCACGTTGGTAGTGCTGAGGTTATAAAACAAACCTTATATAAATAAAAATGTTTTTGTGTAATTTATATAATGTTTTGAAAAGTGAAGGATTTCTTTTAGAAGTTTGTTGCAAAGTATAAAAAGAAATAATAGCCTATTTTTAGGGGGTAAGGAAATTTTATTTGAAATTAAAATTTAATAAGTAAGTAAAAAGTTTCAAGTAAACTGTACAAAATTATACCAAGTAGACTAAAGCAAAGACTTTAGGTCAGGCTATAGACAAGAATATTGTCAAGACAAAGAATAGATTACAGTCCAAACTTTAGACTAGACTACAGACTATACTACAGACTAAACTATAGACTAGACTATATACTGGACTATAGACTACACTATAACTAGACTGTAGACTAGATTTTAGACTAGACTTTAGACTAGATTATAGACTAGTCTATAGAATAGACTAGACTATAGACTAGACTAGACTATAGACTAGACTATGGACTAGACTATAGACTAGACTATAGACTAAACTATAGACTAGACTATAGACTAGACTATAGACTAGACTATAGACTAGAGTATAGACTAGACTATAGACTAGACTATAAACTAGACTATAGACTAGACTATAGACTAGACTATAGACTAGAACAGACTATAGACTAAACTAGACTATAGACTAGATTATAGACTACACTATGGACTAGACTACAGACTAGACTATAATATAGACTAGACTATAGACTGGACTCTAGACTAGACTATAGACTAGACTATAGACTATAGACTACACTATAGACTAGACTATAGACTAGACTAGACTATAGACTAGACTATAGTCTAGTCTATAGTCTAGTCTATAGTCTAGTCTATAGTCTAGTCTATCGTCTAATCTATAGTCTAGTCTATAGTCTAGTCTATAGTCTAGTCTATAGTCTAGTCTGTAGTCTAGTCTATAGTCTAGACTATAGACTAGGCTATAGACTAGGCTATAGGACTAGGCTATAGACTAGGCTATAGACTAGGCTAGACTATAGACTAGGCTAGACTATAGACTAGGCTAGACTATAGGACTAAACTATAGACTAGACCATAGACTAGACTATAGACTAGACTATAGACTAGACTATAGACTAGAATATAGACTAGACTATAGACTAGACTATAGACTAGACTATAGACTAGACTATTAGACTAGACTATGACTAGACTATAGACTAGACTATAGACTAGACTATAGACTAGACTAATAGACTAGACTAATAGACTAGACTATAGACTAGACTATAGACTAGACTATAGACTAGACTATAGACTAGACTATAGACTAGACTATAGACTCGGACTATAGACTAGACTATTGACTATGAATTATTGACTAGATTATAGACTAGACTATCCTATCCTATAGAAAAGACTAGACTATAGACTAGACTATAGACTAGAATAGACTATAGACTAGATTATAGACTACACTATGGACTAGACTACAGACTAGACTATAATATAGACTAGACTATAGACTGGACTCTAGACTAGACTATAGACTAGACTATAGACTAGACTATAGACTACACTATAGACTAGACTATAGACTAGACTATAGACTACACTATAGACTAGACTATAGACTAGACTATAGACTACACTATAGACTAGACTGGACTATAAACTAGACTATATACTAGGCTAGACTATATGGTACACTAGACAATAGACTAGACTTTTTTCTGAGACTTCTAATTAAAAATTATGCCCATCTACAACTTTGTTTTACAGATTATATGTCTTCTTAATTCATTTCAATCTAAAACCTTTTAATAGCTTTATAGTATACATTACATTCCTAAAAATGAGTAAAAAACGAGGTATACTCTTAGGATGATTAATAATATGCATGTATGTTAACTGTACTTAAAAATGTTACAGTTTAAATAAAATATATTAATCTTAATCCATCTTGAATCTATTGTTCTGCTCAAACATGTTAACCTTTAAGAAAATTAAAAAATATTTTAAAATCATGGCCTACATACAATTCAAAAGGTTAAAATTTTTAAGCAAACGAAAAAATCACTCATTTCAAATGATTAACATATAATGTAATCTTTTAAAGAGAAAAAGAAAACTCTTTATTTTTATTGAAAACATTAATTTTTCAAAAATTATCATAAATCATAGCATACTTTTAAGGGATTAGAAGCTTACATAAGTAAGGAAAATAAATAAACCATACCTTTAGTCTTAGCAAACATTATTAAAGATAAAAACCTAATATATTTCTTATACTTTTATTTCTTTTCAGGTATTTTTTTCATCATATTATTTTAACAAAATTTTGAGCTTAAAACAACAACAACGACTTTAGGGTTTGTGTAACTCTATATAAATTGAAATTGCTTTATTTATATTATACATATTTAATTTAATAAACTTACGAATGTTAAGTAATCAAAAATTGGTGATATGTGAAGCAACAAATAAAACGTAAGTTACAGCCCCAAGAAAGAAAAACAGAACTCCCCCTCAAAAAAAACCCACAAATGTTTAAACAAATTCGACTACACGCGAAATCAAAATTTTAGCAAAAGCCAGAGAAAGAAAATTTTTACACACACAACCGCAGCAGTTAAAATAATAACAAAATCAAATCAAATAAAAGTCAATATATTTTGCATAGGTAAGTAGACATGAGTGGAAGGAAAGAACGAAAAAAAAAAATACCTAAAAATATGCCACAGTTTATTTTCTTAGTACTTATTTCAAGATTTATAAACTTAAATCTGTATACAAGAGTAAAATATTTAAAACTAAAAAGATTTTCTTATTTTTTTATTTATTTTTTTAGTAAATCGAACTCAAACAAAAACCTCTACCCAACAGCTCTCAAATGATAAAAATGTTTATTTTAAAATCGTATGACGTTATAGTATTTCTTTGTAGCAATTTTTTTTAAGTAGACTTCTTTTTTATTTTTGCTACAACTACAAGTTTATTTTTTTTTTTAATATAAAAAAATAACGAACTGCAAGCAACCTTGAATCAGTTTATTTTTCTTTTGAGTGCCCTACACAATTTTGTTTGGGAAAACTAAATTATTAATAAAGTTTATAAAAATTTTGGTAGATTTTCTAAATAATGTAAAACATTTCAAAATGCACAGGATTTTGCATTATATAGACCAGCAAACTAGACCACATTCTAGGCTCGAAACCAGACAATCCATAAAAGTTTAGTTTTTACTATAGATCAAGCAACAGATAAAACTATGAATTATAATATAGATACAACCATAGATCTGTCTATAGCTGAGACTATAGACACACTATAGATCAAGCTATAGTTCAGACTAAAGGTCAGGCTATAGATCAGGCTAAAGATCAGACTATGTAAGAGATTACAGTAGAAACTATATATCAGAATATAGACCAGATTATATAACAAACTATAGATGTGACTATAGAGCAGACTATACATCGGATATATAGGCTAAATATCATACGATAGAACATACTGTAGACTAGACTATCGATCAGTCTTTAGATCAAACTATAGATCACACTAAAAAATATACTATGGAGCAGATTATAAAGTATATTATAGATTACACTACAGGCTGGACAACAGACTATAGACTATACTGTAGACTATACTGTAAGCTATACTATAGACTAGGCTGTAGGACTAGACTAGACTATAGACTAGGACTATAGACTGGACTATAGACTAGACTATAGACTAGACTATAGACTAGACTATAGATAGACTAGACTAGACTATAGACTAGACTATAGACTAGACTATAGACTAGACTATAGATATACTATAGACTAGACTATAGACTAGACTATAGACTAGACTATAGATAGACTATAGACTAGACTATAGACTAGACTATAGACTAGACTAAGACTAGACTATAGACTAACTATAGACTAGACTATAGACTAGACTATAGACTAGACTAGATAGACTAGACTATAGACTAGACTATAGACTAGACTATAGACTAGACTATAGACTAGACTATAGACTAGACTATAGACTAGACTATAGACTAGACTATAGACTAGACTATAGACTAGACTATAGACTAGACTATAGACTAGACTATAGACTAGACTATAGACTAGACTATAGACTAGACTATAGACTAGACTATAGATAGACTATAGACTAGACTATAGACTAGACTATAGACTAGACTATAGACTAGACTATAGACTAGACTATAGACTAGACTATAGACTAGACTATAGACTAGACTATAGACTAGACTATAGACTAGACTATAGACTAGACTATAGACTAGACTATAGACTAGACTATAGACTAATAGACTAGACTATAGACTAGACTATAGACTAGACTATAGACTAGACTATAGACTAGACTATAGACTAGACTAATAGACTAGGACTATAGACTAGACTATAGACTAGACTATAGACTAGACTATAGACTAGACTATAGATAGACTAGACTATAGACTAGACTATAGACTAGACTATAGACTAGACTATAGACTAGACTATAGACTAGACTATAGACTAGACTATAGACTAGACTATAGACTAGACTATAGACTAGACTATAGACTAGACTATAGACTAGACTATAGACTAGACTATAGACTAGACTATAGACTAGACTATAGACTAGACTATAGACTAGACTATAGACTAGACTATAGACAGACTATAGACTAGACTATAGAACTAGACTATAGACTAGACTATAGACTAGACTATAGACTAGACTATAGACTAGACTATAGACTAGACTATAGACTAGACTATAGACTAGACTATAGCTAGACTATAGACTAGACTATAGACTAGACTATAGACTAGACTATAGACTAGACTATAGACTAGACTAGACTAGACTATAGGACTAGACTATAGACTAGGACTATAGACTAGACTATAGTACTAGACTATAGGACTAGACTAGACTATAGACATGACGACTGTAGACTAGACTTATAGTCTAGACTATAGACTAGACTAGACTATAGACTAGACAAGACTATAGACTAGCAGACTATAGACTAGACAATAGACTAGACTATAGACTAGACTATAGACTAGACTAGACTAAACGTAGAGTAGATTTAGATGTTAAGCTAATCAATTTTTCTTTTTCTACCTATTTCTTCCTTCAAAAACTAAATTTCTAAACTAAAGCATACTTATAGGAGACATGACGTAAGCTTTTATTTATTTAGTGGTTTGTAATTTGAAATTGACAGCAGGTGTTGGTTAGAAAACAGCAAAAGCAACCGAAGTAAAAATTATATACTTCAAGAAAAGGAGAAAGCAAAAAATAAAACTTGCAAAAAATGTAAAAATCTTTTAGTGAAATTGAATAGAAGAAACATCATGTAAGAAAGAAAAGATAAATTACCTATCCTATTTTTAGTGCAATTTCTTTTAAATCTATATAGTGTCTGGCCAACTAAAAAGTAATGCATTACAAGTTAATAAATCACTAAAGGAGTATAGTGAAAGTAATATTTTGTAACACTTATTAGAAAATTAAAAAACGAAAAAAACTATTGAGAAAAAAAGTATTTAAAATAAAAATAGCTTTCTAAACTAATTATAAAATAACATTAAAAACACTTTTCTTTTTTACTGATGACAAGAGTTTTCTAATTTCTTCTTTTTTTTCAACTAACTTTAATAGAAAAAATTGCAAAAAAAAAAAAAACGAAAAGAACAAATTATTGATCAAACTTTTTATGGGTAGAGCGAAAGTTACTCTTGCCTAAAAGTATGCATTGTTAAGGCTTTTTTTTTTTCTTTCCAGCAACACAACTGAAACTATGTTAGTGTAGTTGGTTGGCAAAAGAAAAAGTTACGAGAAAATATAAAAAATATATTGTATAAAATAAAGTACAATAAATAACGTTTTTTAATAGTTTTTTATAGGTTATGGATTTTTATGACATGTTTCAATCACAAAAGTTATGACACATTTAGCAATGTGGCTTTTGTGTTACAGAATAGTGGTTAGAACAGAGAAGGCAGACAGACAGGTGGATGTCGTTGTAGGTTAGAAAGGTAACATGCAAAGTTGTGAGGCATTTTTAAAAGGTATTAAATTTTTCTATAAGAGATTTAAGATAATAATAATGAACCAGGCAACAAACAATGGCTATAGAAGACTCTAAATCAAACTATAGAGTAGATCAAACTGTTCTAGTTCAGTTTTAGTTCAGTTCTAGTTCAGTTCTAGTTCAGTTCTAGTTCAGTTCTAGTTCAGTTCTAGTTCAGTTCTAGTCAGTTCTAGTTCAGTTCTAGTTCAGTTCTAGTTCAATTCTAGTTCAGTTCTATTTCAGTTCTAGTTCAGTTCTAGTTCAGTTCTAGTTCAGTTCTAGTTCAGTTCTAGTTCAGTTTTAGTTCAGTTCTAGTTCAGTTCTAGTTCAGTTCTAGTTCAGTTCTAGCAGTTCTAGTTCAGTTCTAGTTCAGTTCTAGTTCAGTTCTAGTTCAGTTCTAGTTCAGTTCTAGTTCAGTTCTAGTTCAGTTCTAGTTCAGTTCTAGTTCAGTTCTAGTTCAGTTCTAGTTCAGTTCTAGTTCAGTTCTAGTTCAGTTCTAGTTCAGTTCTAGTTCAGTTCTAGTTCAGTTCTAGTTCAGTTCTAGTTCAGTTCTAGTTCAGTTCTAGTTCAGTTCTAGTTCAGTTCTAGTTCAGTTCTAGTTCAGTTCTAGTTCAGTTCTAGTTCAGTTCTAGTTCAGTTCTAGTTCAGTTCTAGTTCAGTTCTAGTTCAGTTCTAGTTCAGTTCTAGTTCAGTTCTAGTTCAGTTCTAGTTCAGTTCTAGTTCAGTTCTAGTTCAGTTCTAGTTCAGTTCTAGTTCAGTTCTAGTTCAGTTCTAGTTCAGTTCTAGTTCAGTTCTAGTTCAGTTCTAGTTCAGTTCTAGTTCAGTTCTAGTTCAGTTCTAGTTCAGTTCTAGTTCAGTTCTAGTTCAGTTCTAGTTCAGTTCTAGTTCAGTTCTAGTTCAGTTCTAGTTCAGTTCTAGTTCAGTTCTAGTTCAGTTCTAGTTCAGTTCTAGTTCAGTTCTAGTTCAGTTCTAGTTGAGTTCTAGTTGAGTTCTAGTTGAGTTCTAGTTCAGTTCTATTACAGTTCTAGTACAGTTCTAGTTCAGTTCTAGTTCAGTTCTAGTTCAGTTCTAGTTCAGTTCTAGTTCAGTTCTAGTTCAGTTCTAGTTCAGTTCTAGTTCAGTTCTAGTTCAGTTCTAGTTCAGTTCTAGTTCAGTTCTAGTTCAATTCTAGTTCAGTTCTAGTTCAGTTCTAGTTCAGTTCTAGTTCAGTTCTAGTTCAGTCTAGTTCAGTTCTAGTTCAGTTCTAGTTCAGTTCTAGTTCAGTTCTAGTTCAGTTCTAGTTCAGTTCTAGTACAGTTCTAGTTCAGTTCTAGTTCAGTTCTAGGTCAGTTCTAGTTCAGTTCTAGTTCAGTTCTAGTTCAGTTCTAGCTCAGTTCTAGTTCAGTTCTAGTTCAGTT